TCGATATTTCCTTGCCAGCGTACCCCATGTTAAATGGACTTGTCTTGGAAATTTGCTGCGACCTTGCATGTGTGTTTGAGAAAGATGACCCTGCTCAAGGTGATCGAGGGTGGATCCAGGTTTGAGGAAGTATCCTGCAGGTTTGAGGAAGTATCCCGGTCCTTGGGTTTAGGGTGTTCCCGGTTTAAGGCATTCCCGGTTTAAGACAATAGGTGTTTTGGGGAAGTTGGAGGTTGAAGATTATTGCCGCTGGGATTAGGGTGTTCCTGTTGCTTGTTCCCGTTGAGTTCTCGTGAGATTCAAATGGGATTTGGAAAAAGCCTCTGTGGAGTAGGTGATTTGGGGGCAGCGGCATATTGGAGATTTCCCCTGAACCTGTGTGGAGGCCGCTGTGAGTTCGGGAATAAAGAATTGCTGTTTGAATCTACAAGGTGTGTGGTGGCTCGTGATTTCTGTGCCAAGCCCAGACATCGGCATATTTCAGTAGGCTCGCCCCCGCACCCTGGTTATTCAGTTGCCAAAGTGTCCCCAGCACATTGCATTTCCTCAATAATAACCCTTTACATGTGTGTACCACTGCTTTAAAGATTTGTTAAAAGGTCCGTTTTCATGTTCACTGACTCATAGACTCTTAATAACACCATGAAATAGGCAGGGAAGGTGTTCTTACTACCAGTTGACAGATGAAGAAACAAAGGTTCAGACTTACTTGTGTTGCCACGTACCATACCTAGGGCAATTTTGTGACAGAGCTGGGCCTAGAATGTAAGCAGGTTTCTAATACCAGTCTGGTGTTCTTTATACCACTCATTAGTTCAACACTGTTGCATTTTGTGATGTTGCCTCAATGACATTTTTGCATCTCACCCTATTCCTGCTTCTCAACTGCACCACCCAGTATTTGCCATGGCATTCTCTGTGCTCAACCAGGGCCTCTCCCTCTTTTCCAAACACATCCTCTTGCGATTTCCTGTCTCTGGATCTTTGCATGTGTTTCCACATCTTGGAGGACACCCTAAGCCCAATATCACTGCAAGTTGAGAGAAACCCAAGGCATCCTCTTAATTTCACCTCAAAGGCCACCTAGCCTATGGTACCTTTGCAGATTAGCCCTGCTGGATGAGATCTCTCTACCCTTGAACTCACAGAGCAATCTGTCTTGTTTTGAAGGGATTTCCATACCTGTTTAATTCCCTGTAGTCTCTCACATCCCTTGTCTGTGTCCCCACAGCCCCTATTACTCAGTTTTCAAAGCACTTATCTCCCAATGTTGTGAGTCTGCTTTTGCCCTATGACTGTAACCTCCATGAGGCCTGGAACTTTGATTCTTCTTGGTATCTCCAGCACTGTGCACAGTGCTTGGAACACAGTAGTTGCTCCAAAAAGAAAAAAAAAGAAAAGAAATACATCGTGTGAATGAGTGGATGGATGAATGAATACTACCTAGCACGATGCCATGGATATTTGAGTTGCAAAATAATAATGGATTAAACTCAGTTTTCAACCAAATCTCACTATTTTCATCCTATCCTAGTGGGGGATAAAGGTTCTTTGTCCTGTCTCAGGCTGTCTCTTCCACTCCCGCTCTGGATTCTAGCGCACCCTGCCTCCCCAGGTACCTCATTCACTCATTCAATGACCTCCTCTCGCCAGGGTATCTACTCGCTTCCTCTTCTCTGTCTGACTCCCTTCCTTGCAGTAACTAACATGCTCTGGTCTAAAAGTAAGTGCCCTCAACTGGATGGGTGTCTTCCTTCGCCTGTCCCTCACATTATAAACCATGCATCTCATGATAGAGTAACCTGGCTGGACCTTTTACTGGGGAATCTTCAGTGTCACTGTCCTTAGATATTTTCTATTGGGTTGGTCAGATGGCCCACAGAAGACTCTTTCAGATGCCAGATTTTAGGGGCAGAGTCAGGGAAGAAGACTGGAGGTTCACAGCTTTCAAGATGCATGCATTCACTTAAGCCCCCTGTTTTCAATATGAGAACCCAGCCCTCAACCAGGTTTAGGAATTTCTAGTCCAGAGGCTCTTTCCTTTACACTCTCTAGGGAACGGCACTCCAGATTTCTCTCTGGGAAGGGAGAGGCCAGCTCCTCACTGGCTTTGGCTGCTGGAGGGGATTTGGGAATGAATTTACGTCTTAAACCAGTTTACAGACACACTCATTATTTTGGTGCCTAGCCACCTTCACCTCCACTTCCAACGTTACCTGTGGCAATTTTTGAAGATTCTTGGGGGCAGGTGATGATACACGTTGGCTTTTGGCTTTTCCCACTAAGGTCTCAGGATTCCTACTTTGTGGTCTTCTTGGATCTGCTACGTCAACTGCTAGTCATCCATGTGCTTTTCAGCATTCCAACTTTAGTTGCTGCTTCCTTTCCTGTTCTCCCCATCATATCCTCCAAATCCTGTTCCTCTAATCCTTTCAAAAATCATTTTATAGTAGTTTCAGTGGGGGTTCTGAGAGTCAATGAAGCCTCTCAAATGAAGAGGGTTCTGAGGGGCAATTAAGCTATATGTAGAACTATGGGTCCCACCTATACATCACCATGGACATGGGTGTCCACCTGCCTATTTCATTCATTTTCCACACCTGTTTCCCAAGCCACTCTTCCTAAAACTCTGCAGACCTAATTTGTCTCATCAGGCTCTCTGACCATTCTTCTGTTTCATCTCTGAATCCCCAGATCACCCAAGCCCCCAAACAACTTCCTATCCATAAACCCTCAGGCCTTAAAGGTCAGATACCTTGTCAGTAGACCTGCACTTCATGACCCCTAGCATTTTCCTGCACCTTTCCAGTTCTGAGTCTCCTAACTTTGCTGCTTCTAAGAAGGCTGTTGATTTCATAGGCTAGCCCCAATCTCTCCTCTTTTCCCAAGTAATGATATTGGCAACAGTGATAAACAGCTAGTGTGTACTGACTGTAAATTATGAGCTGCTCACTCTGGTGGATGCTTTCTACCCAAGATCTCAGTTCATTCTGCATCACGGCTTTTAATTTTTTTGTACCCATCCCCTTTTTAGGTAGTTGACATTGCATATGAAGAAACAGTGCCTCAAGGAAGGAAAGCTGATTTCCCAAAATTCGTCAGGCTAATAAGATGAAATTTAAGCCCAGGTCATTCTAAAGTCTGTGTTCTTCTTATAACACTATCCTGCCTGAGTCAAGGCATCAGAGAGGGAGCTAGAAAGCATAATCCAAATGTATACTAAATACCTGAATTGGAGAGAGTGCCCACCACCCAATGGGTAAACTGTGGATAAAGATGGATCTAGCAGAGAAAACCTTTACTAACTTCACAAGTTTACACAGCATCCACACTTGTGATCCTCTGTTGTGCACAGGATAAATGACCGTGTTTATCTACCCACACAGAAAGTAAGTTAGAACACTACTACAAATCTGTATGCTATACACCAACATGGCTTAAGATGATTTATCACAATTGCAAAAGATGCCCGATTTTTTTTTTTTCCAGAAAGGAAGGTTGGATTCCATTAATCAAGCTAAGACTTTATACTGCATTATTGCCTGGCACAAAAACAGATAGTGCACTCTGTAGTTTGCGAACTCGACTCAGGAAATCGGGGAAGAGTAAAATCCACATGGGAAAGATTTCCATTGACTTCTCATCCAAGATGGTACAGTTAGTTCATGCTATGGAACACTTGGCAGTGATATACTGAATTTAACAAAGTAAATTCAAAAAGGCATGGCCAAGACAAAAACACACGAATGTGATCAGATGCTTGTCTCCATATTGAAGTGTCAGGCTTGCTTGTCTGGAAGCAAAGCATGGTGGACAGAAGTTAAGCTCCTACAAGGAATAGTGGTCCAAAAGTACTCTGAGCAAGATGGAGGGCAAAAGCCACATTCAGTGTGTAAAGCCAAGGACTAGAATGTGGCTACCCACAAACTTGCCAACCCCTGGCTATAAGTCTGAATAACAATGACAACAACAAAAAAGAACATCTACCAAACTCTGCCAGGGTCTTTGGCACTGACGAGCTAAAGGTGTGTGGGGATGAGGACACAGACAATGTTTCTAGAAAATGTTTTTGAGGTCTTTTTTTTTTTTTTCAAACTACTTGCAAAACTAATCTATATATGCTCATGGTTCTTTCAAGATCTTGCTGGAAGAACTGTGAAAGTGGGAATGATGATCATTGTCTACGAATGGTTGGTTAGACTGTAAGCATGGAAAGGGTGAGGGAGTTAACAAAATCTATTGAGCAATATGGCAGATTAGTTAAAAGAACTGTCGCTGGAGCCACTGTCTTCAGGTTTCTAATTTAAAGTCTGACACTTATTTTAGCCTTGTGACCTTGGGTAAGCCACTTAATCTCTCTTTGCCTCTATTTTTTTTTTTGTTTGTTTCCATCTGTAAAATGGCGACAGGGTTGTTGTGGAGATTAAGTGCACTTAGAACAGTGTCCAGCACATAGACAGCACTATGTAAGAGTTAGCTATTATTGTTGGGCAACAATGTGTGCTGTGAACATCTTAGTTTAATAACCACAAAGTTGTTTAAAAAACTCTATGAGGTAGGTATTTTATGTTCTGTACCTGTATGAGAGAACTTAAGCAATGAAAAGCCAGACAAAATGACCGAAGTCGCATAACTACAGAATGGCAGAACCTTTAGATGCTGCCTAATCCAAGGCTTTCACTTCACAGAAGAACAAACTGAAGTTCAAAATAGAAGAGCATGCCTCAAGTCATTTAGTGCCAGAACTGGGCTTAGAAATTCAGCAACAGGCCTCTTCCCTTCAAGTAGTTCTCAAACTTTGGTGTGCATCAGAATCCCCTGGAGGGCTTGCTCAAACAAACTGGTGGTCTCCACTCCCAGAGTTCCTGATTTAGTAGGTCAGGGTGGGACGTGAACAGTTGCATTTCTAAAGAAATTGTTAAATGATGCTGATGCTGCTGGTCTGGGGAACCACACGTTGGGAACCTCCACAGCACACCATAGTTCATACATTCTTTTTTCCTTCTCACCACGGACTCCACAGTCTGTGATCTATAAACACTTACAAAGAAAGGGAAACCGGTGATGAAAACTAAAGAAAAATAAATGGCTCCCAGCAAGAAGGCAAGGTGACTGACCAAGAGTCCTGGGTTTGTGTGGGACTTTTCCAATTTTAAGATGGGGAAAGTCGTACAGTACAGGAAACTCCTCAGTCCCAGGCACTCTGAGAGGGTTGGCCATTGTAGACAAAGGCAAACAAAATTTGGTGCCAGTCAGCTGCCAAACAGAAAAGGACATACAGAGAATGAGGTCATTTCTGATGAGTTTGTCTGAAAAGGACTCATTCATTTCTTCCTCTCCCAACAAATCTGTATTATGAAACTACTCTTTGTAAGGCATCATGTTAGGTGCTGTGCTCCTGACACTATTGATCCCATCCCACCAGAGAAGAAAGGTAAAAGTGAGTCTACAGTGAGCTTGGTAGACACAGACCCAGGCTTATATACTCAGAAACACCTGGAATAGGAGTGGGAAGGGAACACCCCACATGGAAACTTTTCAACCATGTTTCAATACATGATCAGCAGTCCAATAATTCCCTTCCTCCCTTTCTTCCTCTGAAGGGAGCACATCATTGAGAAGGATTGATTAAACATTTAGGAAAAGGAGGGTGTGGTAGTGAACTATTTCATTAATAATTCAGGAGAGTCAAGGTAAGGGGAGTCCTTTAGTAAGGGCGGTAAGTTGAAATTTTTGTCCTTATCTTTACAGACCCATGAGTATGTCCTTCACTTGTCATAAATCAATGCTAACCTCAGTTATGGTGTAATCTGCAAGGCTAATTTATACAAAACTTCAAAAAAGGCAAATGTCCTGGGGAAGACTAATGGTGACGTATTTTAGAGGAGTGCATAATAGCAAAGAGAACTCTTTAAGACCCCAAATTAATTCTCAATCCTTTGACCTGACAGGAATAAAGATTTCAGGGAAGACTCCTAAAGATTCATGGTAAAAATAAAATGCAGAAATATTTTGAGAACACATGTTGGAGCACTGGATGGATCAATAAAATAATGCATAGACTACCAAGTGTTTCCTGGGAACTCACTGAAAAATTCAGATTAGGCTCTATTCTCTGTAAGTTTTCTTTCCTTTATGACTCCTATATTTCTTAATAATATATATTTTTTTCTGTAGGGTGCACCCTGGCCTACATGTTCTTTCATCATTCTGCAGTGCTCAATGTGGTTATTGTACAGCTTCATTTTCAGTGAAAGCCACGGGAACAGAAGCCTCATACATTCCCCACCCATCCCACTTTCACACATCAGTCATTCAAGAAATAAAGGAAAGAAAGCATTAAATATGACCCAGTCACATCTTGGCCATTAACATAATATTTTAAGAGAAGGAAAAATATCATAAATGGAGGAAAACACATTACCTCCTAAAATGCCACCAAATTGCCAAAATACAAGTTTGTTAGTGATGGTGGTGGAGGGGGGGTGGCGGGGGAGGGAGGGAATATTATCATGTGGAACCTCAGCAGTCTCTGAAAACCCTACAAATTTCCCCCATATAACTACCAAAGTGACGGGTTTGCTCCACAAGAACTGTTGTGACTTGGGAGTTTAAGTTCTTCAGAGGTGAGTTAGATAGAGATGACTCTTCGAAGAAATTATTATTTTTTTTTTAAAGAGAGAGTGAGAGGGGGGTGGAGAGAGAGAGAGAGAGAGAGAGAGAGAATTTTTAATATTTATTTTTTTTTTTAATTTTCTCGGCGGACACAACATCTTTGTTGGTATGTGGTGCTGAGGATCGAACCCGGGCCACACGCATGCCAGGCAAGCGTGCTACCGCTTGAGCCACATCCCCAGCCCTCTTCGAAGAAATTAAAACACTATATTTGAATTCAGTTCCCAGGTTATCACTGAGCTTGGGTTACCAAACAATTCCTACAATGTCTACAGTTCTAGGACACTACAAAGCAAAATCTAGGGTTTCAGCCAAACCCTTCAATCCATAGGCCTATGTAAAGGGCTGTCCCAAGGAACCAATCATCTAGCCCATTGGTTCTCAAAGTATGGTCTAAAGAGTCTTGGGGGGCTGGGTAATCCCAGTGACTTGGGGGCTGAAGCAGGAGGATCGATAGTTCAAAGCAAGCCTCAGCAACTTAGTGAGGCCCTAAGCAACCCTGACCTTGTTTCAAAATAAAAAAAGGCTGGGGATGTGGTTCCGTGGTTAAGCACCCCTGGGTTCAATCTCTAGTATGCTCCCTCCCTGCCAGCAAAGATTCTTGGGAGTTTCTGAAGCCCTTTTAGTGGGTCTGTGGGATAAAACTGTTTTTCCACATTTTTACTGGTACATTATATATAATGGTAGGATTCATTACATATTCATACATGGACACAATACAACAATATAATTTGGCCAGTATTGTTGCCCAGTATTGTCCTTTCCCTCCCCTCCTCCTCTCCTTCTGGTACCTTTCCTCTTCTCTACTGTCTCCCTTTAACTTTCATGAGATATCTCCGCCACCATTCCTTTTCCTTTTCTCCTTTCTAGCTTTGACATGAGAGAAAACATATGAACCTTGACTTTCTGAGTTTGGAGGAATGGCATCCAGCTAATCCGCGCTCCTCAGTATTTACCCTAAAGAATTGTATTTGTCATACTGTAGCAATACAGGGATGAAACTATTTTACAATAACAGTAAGGTGATACTTTCTTTTTTCACTCCCATCATCTCATCTTTTCCAGAGGTGACATGACATGTGATGTTGTCTCTGATAGCTGAGGGATGTGTGCTTCTGTGTTCTTGAATTTTAAATATTTCTGACTCTCAATATCTAAGATAATTATTATCAGTAGATACAACCTAAACTCCAAGACTCTTTGGGATCCTCAATAGTTTTTCAGGGTGTTAAGGTGCTTCTTTCTGAAGAGCAGAGTAAACCCTCTTGAGTAAAGAGACAACCTACTGAGTGGGAGAAGTGATTATTTCCAAACAATACACGTGGCATGGGGTTGATATCCAGCATATATAAAGAACCCCAATAACTCGGTTGCCCCAAAACAAATAACCTGATTAAAAATGGGCAATAGGGCTGGCGATGTGGCTCAAGCGGTAGCGCGCTCGCCTGTCATGCGTGTGGCCCAGGTTCGATCCTCAGCACCACATACCAACAAAGATGTTGTGTCCGCCGAAAACTAAAATAAATAAATATATAAATATTTTTTAAAAAATTCTCTCTCTCTCTCTCTCTCTCTCTCTCTTTAAAAAAAAAAAAAGGGCAATAGACCTAGGTCAATGTGACTCAAAGGAAGACATTCAGATGGCCAACAGGGACGTGAAAATATGCTGAGCAACACCAATCATATCAGAAATGCCAGGCAGCGCTACGCCTGACCCCTCTAAGAGGTCAGTTGTCAAAGAAAAAGAAAAAAAAACAAATGTTGGTGAGGATGTGGAGGAAAAGGAACTCTCATACATTGCTGATGGAAATGTAAGTTGGTACAGTGATTATGAAAGACGGTATGGAGGATCTTGATGCAATTAAAGGTAGATCTCCCATATGATGCAGCTACCTCACTTCTGGGCATGTATCCAAAGGAAATGATTATGAGCACACCAAAGAGATCCTAGCATGGTCTTGTTTATTGCTGCATTATTCACAATAGCCAAGATATGGAATCAACCTAGATGCCCATGAACAGATGAATGGATAAAGGAAATGTCATACATATGTGCAATGGAATACTATCCAGTTGTAAAAGAATCCTATCATTCGTATAAAAATAGATGGGATTAGAGGACATTATGTTAAGGGAAGTGGATCAGATAGAAAAACAAGTACCACATGTTCTCCCTTGTGGATATTAAGACCAAAATTTAGGTGAATTGTTGATTTATCAGTGTTATTTCTAGAATGGATTTCATTCTAACTGTCCTAGTCAGAAGGAAAATTTACCTACTCAGTATTGCTTTGATTTCAATATGGAGAATCAAAGGAATTCTCTATGTTTCTGAAGTATAGTTACCAAAATTATCTAAAAAGGTTTAGAAAATGTGAGCTCATGTTATAGCTTGGGGGAAAGATCTACCCCACTAGATGGTTGACAGAAGCCCCCCTCTCTGTAACATGTTCCCATGCTAGAGAAAGGGGCCGCTTCTGTTTCATGGGATGGGATAGAGAGACAATATGAAGTAGATTTTCACACAATATCATTCTGCTGATATGAAATTCTGGTAGCCAAGGTGGCAGGTATGTTCTTAATCCCAATGCTGTCAAATTTAAGCCTGGAGCCCCAAGAGACGAGCAGTATTTAAGACATCATCTCTTGTTAAGTAGCAGCCACACAGTTGGCGGTAGCCAGTGAAGGATTCCCTGCCATGTAGGACTCTCCAGTTGTCTATAAATAGGACCTGTGAATGAATAAAAAGAGAAAACGTCATCAGAACAAGCGCAAACCCAAAGAACCCTAAATCAGAAGAGATCATCTAAAAAGCAAAGCGTTAGGTGGTTCTATGGTTATATTCTGTGCGATATTTTTATTTTTAAATTAAGCAGACTTTTGGAAGCCCAGACGGGTGTAACCCTGTAGCAGGATAAATGGAAGTTGCAAAGGCAATAGTAGGTAATAAATGGGGCCTGCACTTGAGGGGTTTGTGTTTCTTGAATAATTGTCCTCCTTTCAAAGCAAATCATGTAATTCGATTCTTTCGTTTTCTTTTCTACTTCTCACTCTATACTTTCTCAAAGGGTTAAGCTATTTTATTATGTTTTATGAGGATATTCTCCATCCAGAGGAAATAAAGATGAAAAAAAAAATGGAATCATGAAGGTGGAGGGACTCTTAGGGATCATGCAGTTAAAACCCCTCGTCATTCACATAGAGTCACAGATGTCAGAGATGGGGTGGGGCCTGCTCCCAGGTCATTCAGTGAGTGAGTGGCAGGACCACAGCCAGCACCTAGGACTTTTTTTCCCCCCTCTGTTTCCTTTGCAACAACACGACACATACTAAACAAGTACCATTATTGATTGATTTGTTTATTTTTAATTTCCAATTTTTACATTTTTTTGGTACTAGGGATTGAACCCGGGCTGCTTTACCACTGAGCTCCATCCCCAGCCCTTTTCATTTTTTTAAAGGATTTTTTTTTGACCTTTGTTTTACTTATTTTTATGTGGTGCTGAGGATTGAATTCAGTGCCTCACACATGCTAGGCAAGCGCTCTACCACTGTGCTACAACCCTAGCCCACCAGTTTTTAAATTTTTGAGACAGGGTCTCACTAACTTCCTGAGGCTGGCCTTGAATTTACAGTCCTCCTGCCTCAGCCTCCAGAGTCACTGGGATTACAGGTTTGTGCCACCATGCCTGGCTTTCTTCACTGCTTCTGTATAACAAGCTTATTTGATATCTTTAGAGTTTAGGACATACCCTCCCAGGCTTTAGTTTGACCCAAAGCTCATTCTCAGGTCTCCTCAACTCAATTGTTAGAGTCCGGTGTGCTGTATACCAACGATGAACGACATCATAAGGCACAGTATTGATGACAGCTCGGTCATAGTTGTTGTACCTAACGTGGAATTGTGAGAAAGAAAGATCTCAAACACACAATAAAGACATCTGTTGTTTATTGAACTACTTTATATAATGGTTTTCTCTGCATTCACTACTTGTTCTGCAGATGAGCTGACAATATGTCAACATTCTCTTAGGTGCACAGGATTGGAGAGAGGAGCTCTTCTGCCTGCTGATCATATTTTGTTTCTCTCTGGAGAACCTGGGGATAGGGGATAGAAGTTAAGTTCCAGTTGGTTTTTCCCCATCTTAAGATATGATGTTTTATCTAAAGCATATTTCATAGAGTACATCCTTATTGGTCAAAGCTCATGGAAGCATTGGGGAAAGATTTGAGCTTGCCCCTCGTCAAGCTGAGATAGGCATGGTAGGCTGTATTAACAAAGCTTTCTTTTCAATGACTTATAACTTCTCATGTGTCTCCCTTTGTGAGAGAGATGCCAGCTATAGTAGCTACTGGACAGTTCACCCAAAGATCTTAATTAATTTATTAAATACTAACATTTATATGAGCATGTGCTACAAGCTAGAAAGTGTGTTAGGCACTAAACACACAATGATGAACATGGCAGACATGATCCCCTTATGTTCTCTCGAGGAAGATAAACGATAAACTAGAAATAAATATATAAATAATTTCAGCTAGTTGCAGATGGTAGGAAGAAAAATTGGTGTTATATGTTTAAGCATGCCTCGGAAATCTATTTCAGATGGAGTGCTGAGTGAAGGATTTTTTGAAGTGACATGGAGCTGGTACCTGTATGATGAGAGACCAGCAATTCAACCAGCTAAGGGAAGAACATTCCAGGCAGAGGGAATAGCAAGTACAAAGCCTTGGGGTGGAAAGGCATTTTATTGTGTTTGCAGATCAGCAAGAAGGTCACATGGCTGGTGGTGAGTAAGCAAGGGGAATAACAGTGGAGGAAGTGATACAAAGGAAATCGCCAGGGGTCAGATGATGTGTAACCATGCAGGCCACAGTAAGGACTTTGGATTTTTTGTGAGCACCATGGGAAGCCAGTGGAAAACCCTAGCTGAGATAATGGATTTCTGTTTTTGGCTAAGGCAAATTAACTTTTTATTGAAGTATAATACACACACATACACACACACACACACACACACATACACACAAACACACAAAAGCAGACAAATAATGATGAATTTCATGATGGGATCATATCTCTATCGCTACCATCCATATAAATAAGTAATTAACTAGAAGCCCATAACCTTTCCTCATGGCCCTCTCCAGTCACACTCTTTCTCCTACTCAAGGGTAACTACTATCCCAACTTCTGTTGCCAAAGATAAGTATTTGCTGTTGATGAAAAACAAAACCTTATATAAATGGAATCATCATATCTACTACACACACATTGACATCTATATGTTTCTACATGCATCTTCATACATTTCTACATATCTAGTCTTTTGTGTCTTGTTTCTTTCATTTAATATTAAAGGACAGCATTGTTCAGCAGTCGTTTATTCATCCTTGGTGCTGTATAGCATTTGATTTTGTGAGCACAGCACAATTTATTTATCCATTGTACTGTTGGTGAATATTTGAGTAATTTCCAGTTTGGAAGCACTACAAATATGACTGCTTTGAACATTCTATTCCATTGTCTTTTGGTGAACATCTATATTCACTTCTGTTTGGTATAATCTTAAGAATGGAATTTCTGGGTCATAAGTATGGGTATGCTCAGCTTTAGCAGACACTGCCAAAGATGTTCTTTGCAAAGAGAAATAAACATCCAATGGTTCTCTTCTTGGGTATCAGACAGTGTTTATTGGTTTTAGTACATGGCACAATCAAAGCCAGTATTCTTAGTTTTCTCATATGTAAAATGAGCATAGTAACACCTGCTTAGTGGATCCCATAGGGATACTATGAAAATCAAATGAAAGAATGTAACAGTGCTTCCTCCCAGGCTTGGAAGAGCTATGCCCAGAGGGAGAATAGGGTGTGGAAGCATAGTCTCCACCAGAGTCTTGATCCCCCATTTTTACTTCCAGAAACTTCCAGTGCTGTGCTAGGTACTTCCACAAATATTTCATTTGCTCCTTTTGACACTTCAGAAGGGAAGGTGTCATTAACTTCCTTTTACATGCAAGGAAACTTGAAAGTTAAATTAAATGTGCCACAGGGCTCATAAGTAGCAGAGAGGTTTTAAAATCCGGTTTCCCTAATAGTTTGACTCATTGTTTGTACCTGAGAACAGAAATCCAATGTAATTTCTGTGTACATTTTTTCCTAAAGATAACTTTTTTAATGGATCACAACTGCAATCTCTTGGCTTCAAATGGAGATATATAGTTTATGAACATTTTCATATGTAATATCTTATTGACCCTCTATGTTATAATCCTGTGAGGCAAGTAGTACAGCTATTATTATCTTACTTTATAAATAAGAAAAAATAATGGCAAAGCCCTGTGATTTGCCCAAGGCCACATGGAATCTAGTATTAAACTTTTTATATTAGATGATGTTGTTTTCTAAGGCCACTAGCAGGAAGCATCCAGTAAAGTCTATTACAAACTAGCAAATAGCTGTGTAATGTTCTTTTGATTAAAATAAGACTATTCCTGGGCTTTTGCACAAAGTGATGCCATCATATTATTGTGTAACTTTTCTTTTTTCTTTTTTTCTTTTTCCTGCTTTGATGTGAGGCAATAGAGGCCTGGGAGTGAGGGAAAGAAAACAAAGCAATAATTTATTTGATACAAAAAGCCATCCCTCTTATTAGTTGATCTATTTTCCAAGTAAAGAGAGCTCAGTAATTGAATAGAAGATGTATTTGATGGATTAGAACAAAAAGATGGCTATTTGAAGTGACCAACCAAATTGAAAAATTCTTAGTCTGAACAGGAAAAAGAAAAACATAGAGYGAGATTTACCAATATAAAGAATCTGGCATTACTAAAGAATCTATAGCTGTGAAAATAATAAGAAAATATCATGAATGAATTTATGACTACAAATTTGAAAACTTAGATAAAATGTACACATTTCTGGAAAGAGCCACCAACTAAAGGTAAAACAAAAATCTTACTAGCTCTCTATAGATGAAGAAAGGTTAAATTTAATATCCAAAACTCTCCCCAGAAGTAAACTCCATTTTTAGAGAATTTCCCTGGTAAACTCTAACAAATATTTGAGAATTATGGTATAAACAAAAGATGATGGGCACTGTAATCAGATGGAGCACCCTTACAATTTAAGAATGTAGCATTATTGCACAAACTCTTTGGGAAACTGAATTTTGCCAGGCCAGGATGATACCAAAATGTGACAAAACTCATTATAAGAAAACTGGAGACCAATATCCCCTGGAATCTGGATGTGAAGTTATCACTTATTAAACTCAAACCAGCTATGTATACGTCAAGTTACCAATTCATTGCCTCTCAGTTCCCAATGTACCTTTCTGTATGCTCTTGATATATAAGAATCCCCCTTCCTTTATAGTAAGCACAATGTTAAGCTTTCTCTGAAGAGAGTGCTGCAAGGATGCTGAAAGAGGAAGACCTTTTCCTGCTGTTTCTGGCCCTGGCTGGGATTCTGTACTGTGAGTGTGAAGACATCTGGTAGAGGCAACTTCAGCCTCTCAGTCAGAATTTGGTCCCTCTGCCACTTTGAAGCTTCAGTGTGGTGATAACCTTTCCATAGGCCTCTTGACATGATAAACCAGAGCCCACATCATATCCTGCATGCAGCTGCCTATCTACAACTGCTGCGTGTAACCTTACCTGCTCAGACTCTCTGGGCAAGCCCCTTCTTGACCTGCACACTAGCCTCCTACATCTGCAGTGATACACACTGAGAAGACATTCTTTCTGCAAGTTCTCACTCCTCACACCCACCCCGTGCAACCCATGTGCTCTGAAGTCTTCCTGCTCTCATGGACACCCGGACTTCCATGACGCACTCAGGCTATCAGTTGCTAATTGCCTACCTCCCTCCGTTCCAGAGGGTGGTCTGTTGTTTGCTCAGAAACTCCAGGTCAGATTCAGCCTGGCCAAACAAGGAAACGGCTCTGCTACCAGGTGGCTGAAGCACGCCACTCATTCTTGAAGGTCTGAACCCCTTCCAAGTTTATCCAGGTTTATCCTTCCTTACCTATTTGGCCTCAGCCCTAGGGCACTATACTGATTTTCCTTTTGTGCTCACTATTTCTATTTTGCCACAGTTCCCAATTCTTTTTTTTTTTAATATTTATTGTTTTAGTTTTAGGTGGAAACAATATCTTTATTTTTTTAATTTTTATGTGGTGCTAAGAATTGAACTCAGTGCCTCACGCATGCTAGGTGAGCGTGCTACCACTTGAGCCACATCCCCAGCACCCCCCACCCCCCACCCCCCGTTTTTTAAAGAGAGGGAGGGAGAGAGAGAGAAGAGAGACGGGGCTGGGATTGTGGCTCAGTGGTAGAGCGCTCCCCTAGCACAGGCAGGACCCGGNGAGAGACGGGGCTGGGATTGTGGCTCAGTGGTAGAGCGCTCCCCTAGCACAGGCAGGACCCGGGTTCGATCCTCAGCACCACATAAAAATAAAGGCAATGTGTTGTGTCCATCTACACCTAAAAATAAATAAATAAATAAAAAGAAGAGAGAGAGAATTTTATTTTAATATTTATTTTTCAGTTTTCATTGGACACAACATCTTGATTTTATTTTTATGTGGTGCTGAGGATCGAACCCAGCGCCCCGCGTATGCCAGGCGAGCGCGTTACCGCTTGAGCCACATCCCCAGCCCCCTTTTAAAAAATATTTATTTTTTAGTTGTAGTTTGACATAATGCGTGTATTTATTTATTTATTTATTTTTATGTGGTGCTGAGGATCGAACCCAGGGCCTCGCAAGTGCTAGGCGAGCACTCTACCGCTGAGCCACAACCTCAGCACCCCCAATTCTTTATATTAATATTCCCTGTTTAAGTTACCGTGTAGTACGTATCTCCTAACTGGACTGACACCATCAATATA